CGGGTCTGAAAGAATATGATAACAGCCCTTGGATAAGTTATAAATCAAATCTTTTGACTTATTCAATCTAAATGCAAATTCTTTAACTAATTGATTCTGAATGCATCCTAGGGAGAATTAATGAAGCAAATCTTTTGACTTATCAAATCTGAATACATATGATTCCATCTAAATCTTGTTCCACAAAATTGCTATTAGTATACAAAAAAATACTGTAAGACTGAAACTATTTGATATAGAAGAAATATTTATTAGAGATATCTCATTGTGAAGGTTGTGGAAGATTCTTCAAAATTTTCTTGGAAAAATATTCCTCCCCCCAAACCAAACACATCACTAATTCATGTTACTGTAATCCTATGCCTGTATTTCTATGTGATACATCACATTGAAGCTATTACTCTTTAATTATCCTCTGTCGTTATATATGAGAAGATATAAGTGAAGTAAGTCAACATCGATGTCTGGGAATCAAGTGAAGATAATAGAGTTGGATGAAGGGATAGAATTTATTCAAAAGAATATTTAAAGCTTAAGAGTATCCTGGAAGAGGAAGCTGAGTCTTTTAGCTCTGATGAAGATATTTTTCTTTAAATGTTTCAGTGAAAAAGTGATTTTGACATACATCTCAAACTGAATACAAAGACTTACAAAATTAACTTAGTTTGAAACTGTATTGTCAAACTGTATCATCAAAAAAAATAATGAAATCATCTTTGTTCGAAAACAGAGACATTAAAATCTGTTGAACACAAAATATAAGATTCTTCGTCTTAGCTTTATTCAACAAAAGTACAATATCTTATGGTAGTTCTAATTACATTAGTAAATCGTATATGGGGCTAATATAATAACACACCAATCAACAGATCCAAACAAGATTCACAACCATTCACATGGATATCAATGGTAATTAATATGAATTTTGACTGTATATGAAACAAGCTTACCTTGGTAGAGTTTTAAAAAAATTCCTTGAAATATGTCTCCTTCAAGGATGAACAAATATACATCATTGCGCCTGCCAAATCAAATAAAATCAACAGAGAATATACTATTGAAATTTTAATATAAATCTATTAAAATAATACTCACCTGTGTTTTAAAAGGTGAAACAAAACATAAACCCCCAATTTTGTTAGGACTATCTTCCCTTCTCTGCCATAATCTATGTTCCGAAAATAGCCATGGAGAAGAGAAAAAAGGGTAAAGAGAGTCAGGAACCTGTTACAATGGCAATATCTTGAAGAAGTGCCTTTCTCCTTTCACCAAAACCTGGTGCTTTAATTGCAGCAACATTCAAGATGCCTCTCAGCTTGTTGACAACAAGAGTAGCCAAGGCCTCCCCACTCACATCTTCAGCAATAATGAGAAGTGGGGCTCTTAATTGTGTTGTTTTCTCCAACAATGGGATTATGTCTTTGATTGCAGAAATTTTTTGATCTGTGACTAGAACTCTGGCATTTTCAAACTCAACAACCAATTTCTCAGGAGACTGAGGGGATACATATCCTCTATCAATCTGCATGAATGAAACCATTGTAATTAATTGATAGGAAAATGACAAGTGATAAAGTTAAAAAAATGCACTCTCATAGTTAGTTTGTCTGGCATTGTTTTGAAAAGAAAGTGAGAGGATTTAAAGAATATGCTTGTTTGGAAGAAAGAATATTTCCCTACAACTCAATGTTTAACAA